GCTCCTGCACCTACGCCTGCTACCCTGCACTCTCACCCACTGCCTCGCATGTTGTCACTTAGCACTGGAGCCCATGATGGAGTGTCCCCATCATAGCCCCACGCATGCAACACTTTTATTCATCCATTTCAGTCTGTCAGTCTCTCTGGGTTTCTCCTCCTGTATTATTTATATCTGCTTTTATGAAGATGATGACAAAGAGTGAGCCCAAAGAAATACTGAGCATGCACAACACATGCAAAAAGATTAACAAATACACAGACTTGTACAGCCGTTTCTTCATAGCAAATGCTCTGTGCTACCACATCCACAGACCTGGCTAATCTATCTTCTGCTTCAGCTGCACAGAACAAATTGGTGCAGGTCAGGACCTGCTTTTCTTTTAGTCTATTGATGAGATAAACAATCATCCTATCTCTCTCTCTCCCTCCCTTTCGCTTTGTCCTGGTGACATCACCTGCTTGTATTAAAAGTGACATTCTCGTTAATCCACATTCAGTGTGCCACTGCATCTCCTGAACGCAGCAATCCAGGTGCACGAACCCGAGTCAGGAGGGCTCATGAATAGCTAATGGCAAAGACACAACAACGCTCCGATTCACAGAAAATGGTCTTTACACCATCAGCTCTGCTAGTGGCTACCGGTGGGGAGAAATGAGGGAGATTGATTGAACATAAAGGGTGAGAGAGTAAAGCAATATGCGCCTGGGAGAAAGAGTAAATGAGAGACAGGGTGAGTGTGCGCGTGCACGAAAGAGAAACAGTCTGTGAATGTATAAAAGAAAGAGAAGAGAAATGAAAGATATTATAAGAAGTTATTGGAAAGCAAAAAGAAAAAGTAATTTCACACACAACCCATCTCCCTGTCTGTCTGGGAAGCTTATTGGCATGCATGATAACAAACATGATAAACGAACACATAAAACAGTTCTCTCGCAGAAAAGAAAAAATAAAACACTCCGCATGTGGCTCAGCGTTTTGTGTCTAATGCAAATAAAAATCTGACCTGTAAGAAGATAGGATTTCCATATTTGTGGCTACAATGATGACAAAACCCAAATAAGTTCAGCATAACCTTGAAGGAGTTCACTAAAATGTTTTGCCTTATTTTCGCTTCACTAGAACAATTTCTCGGCAAAAGATCTGCAGAACTACTGTCAGTACCATAAGGTCTCTTTTGTAAATGAGTCTCCGAGGCTCAATGGGACTAACCTGTATAAATAAAGGTTGAATGAATGAAAAAGTAAAAGGGGAAAAAAATAGTTTACGTTTTGTTTTTGGTATCTGACACGAGTTACTAGCAAAATATAGCTGACTAAAACAGATTTTTATTAGTCAAGAAGTGTGAAAGAACAGTTAGTTGTAAAATGTATTATCTATTTTTAAAAAGCCAGCAGTGTAACTCACTATGATTCTCATTTTAATGAACAGCGCTAGTTAAAATGTCAAGTCAAACTAAATTTATATTATAATGTAAATGTGAGAGAGCTGAGACTAATATAAAGGTTTTAATTCAAGAGAATTAGTGCCCTAAACACACTCCATGATACAAAGCGTAACAACTGCTGTTATTACTGGGGGACTCTTTGCATACAAACTCCAAATATCACTTTGATAAAGTCTGGGCCTAATTAATCAAGTTAATCAGCAGGGTGCCTGGCAGCCTCACTGCTCTGCAGTCTCTCTAAGACTGGGGCTCTGCAGCAATCCACTCTCTGTGGAGAGATACTATAGCCCACGAGCTTTCTTTGGATTTCTGTCCTAAAACAAAGCATGAGAACTACATTGAAGAAAAATGTTTGTCTTCTCACATGCAGAATTTGTTAGGTAACTAAGAATTTTGTGAAAAGACTAAATGGGTCAAGTTTACATGTCATTTTTAGAAGAATGTTGTAATTTCATATTTTAATGGAGAAATTGCATTTCCTGCAAAAATGCAGTGTGAATGTTTATTGCAGAAGAACTTTATGAAAAACAGCTGAAATTAGCCAAAAAATAAAACATGCTGATATGTAGCTGAAATGAAAGAACAAGCCTAAATTGGCAGAAGAAAGTAGAAAGAACACATATGTGCTGAATTAGGTTTAAATAGGTAGAAATGAACACAAAAATGAGTAAATAAGCTTTAAAAAATGTAAAATTAGCAAAAAGCACTAAAAAGTAGCTGAAAAGGCAGAAAGAAGCAAAACCTATGAGAAGGAAGCAGAAAGAGCTGAAATCAGCTAAAAAAATGTGGAATTAGCTGAAAAAGCTAAGCTTTGAAACAGCTAAATAGTAGATGAAATAGCAGATAAAGCTGAAATTAGCTGAAAAAAGTTAAAAGGAGCATACCAAGCTGAAATTAGCAGAAAGAAGTTAATTAGGCTGAAAGTAGCAAAAATTATCGCAAAAACTTGAATTTATCTGAAATGCTGAAATTAGCTTAACAATTGAAAGAAAAAGGTACCTGAAAAGGTAGAAAAAGCTTAAATTATCAGAAGAAAGCAGAAAGAACACATCTTTGCCCAATTATTCTGAAAGAAGCAGAAATGAGCACAAAAAAATTGGAAATTATCTGAAAAAAGCAAAGAATTAGAAGAAGAAAAAAAACAGCATAAAGGTTGCTTAAAAGGCAGAAAGAAGCTGAAATTACAGGAAAGAAGTAGAAAGGCACATGTTTTGCTGAATTAGGCAGAAAAAGGGTCTCAAGTGCCAAAAATGTGGAATTAGCTGGAAAAGCTTAAATTAGCATAAAAACAGCTAAATAGTAGCTGAAATAGCAGAAAAGGCTAAAACTTGCAGAAATCATCTGAAATGAGCAGAACAAGCTGAAATTAACAAAAGGCATTAGAAGAAGCGCAAAAATGTTGTAGCTAGCAGAAAGAACATGACAGAAGCACAAAACACCTGAAAAAAGCTGAAAGTTGTCAAAAGTAGCTGAAAAAAACATTTAAATTTGCACCAGGAAGCTGAAAAAAGCTGAACCGGAACAAAATATGAAAGGATCAGTAAAAGGTTGTAAACAGATCTAAAGATCTGAAGGATGTAAAATGATCTCAATTCATTTTTTATGAGAAAAACAAGTCATAAAATGCTAAATATTTCAAAAAGCTAAAGTTGCACCAATACCAAAAGTCACAGCAGAATTGTCCTGAATGATCTGAATGTTTTGATATATGATTTGTTGAAATAGCTTGAAAACAGCAGGACAAGAAATGCAATGAAAAACGTATGGAAGAAAATTGGATCACAATAGTGTGAATGCTTCATAAACATTCACACTAATATCTTTGTAAATAGGTGCCTATAGGTTCAGAAAATCTAATTATGCATTCCTTGAAGGAATGTGTATTGCTTGTGCCTCATGTTTAGAAATAGCAAAATCAAAAAGTTAATCAGCTGCCAATCAAGTGTAAAAAGAAATATCCAACATTTTCCAGTCAGGTCATCAGGACAGTTTCTTTTTTTTGTGCTGAAACGTTTCGCCTTCGGTCCGCAAGGCTTCAACAGTCAAGGAAACACACAACAAAACTGATTCTTCCCCCAACAGCTTACTCCAAAGTGGAACAAACCAGTTCTGCTTGTGATAAGATGGTCTCTTTGGTACGCCCCCTCCTCCATTGCCGGCCCTCTTCCTTGTTGACAGTTGTGTCAAACTGGTTGAAAACAACAAAGTCCATGCTCAATAATCCAGGTATACAATCCAACATTTTTCTGTCAGGTCATCTGGACAGTTTCTCTGGAAATGATTTTCTCTGGATTGAGCATGGACTTTGTTGTAGAAAGAAATAGTTTCTGAAAGTTTCATTAAAATCAGTTTAGCTGTTCCAGGGGTATCAAACAAACAGACATAGTTGATTACAATAGATATGGGAAGTTTTAAACACACAATTAGTTATGGTTCAAAATAAATGATCAGAAACCAGTTTACACTATTAACCCAGCAAATTTTAGCTTAATTCATGTAAACTATACCCATAATTGTGTTTGCTACAATCACTTTAAGATCAGTTCTCAAAGTTTCATTAAAATCCTTTCATTGGTTCAACAAATATTTTACTAATGGTATAGACAAACAAACATGGACACATCTAAGAACTGGCAAAAACATCATTGGTTTCCTTAGCCTTTGGCAGTGGTTAAGCTTTTTAAGTGTTGCTTTAGTATTGCTATTTAGCATTCAGAACAAATGTCTACAACCAAAATAGTCAAAAATGCCGTCAGATTTTGAAAAAGAAAAATGAAGTTTAATCAGAAATGCTGCTTCAGATCCCCTCTACGCCCATCCACTTTATTAGCTACAGTGCAGATTAAAAGGCAAAATAGTCTATTAAGCTTTTAGCTTGTGTTCAAAAGTCAAGTGCTGTTTAATTGATTATTTCTAAAAACAAAATCAGGAGAGATTGGAAAGGAGTAGTGAGAAACAAGAGCCAACAAGAAGTCCCAAGTGAGACACAAATAGCACTTCTCACAAATATTGATGAGGTGCTGGTGGAGGCAAGGACAGACTGAAGACACAGAGCTGGCCTGTAGCCAAACCTGTTGTCCTTTTTTGTCCATAATGAAGTGTTTCAAAAAGTGAGTCCATCTCTGTGGTGTTGCTTGTACTTTTTATGAGTGAAACAAAAATAACTATATTATTATTTTTCTAACTTTAAAACCTTTTGCTTTAGTTCAGTTGTGTGTATTTTTGTGCACTTTGAGGTCACCACATTTTAGTTCATAAGCTGGAGGGGGGAAGGGGATTGGACGGTAGAATACAACAACTTGTAAGAACTGTTGGGTTGTTTTGTCGTCAATAACTGGGTTAAAGGCTGGATCACAAGCTGGGTTGGTTAGATGTTGGACCCAGTGAGATAAGCCTCGTCATTCTTTGTTCACTACTAAGCAAGAAATTGACCAAACTGGACCTGACTAGACCTCTGCTTTAAAATTAACTCTGTGAATAGCAAAGAAATCTGCTGTTGCTCAGATAGTTGTGAAATGTTACTGTATTTTCCACATGAACACGGTGCACTCACTGAGAAACTGCATCTCAGAATGCCTGGGAATTACTCCTCGCAGTGCTGGAAGAGATTTCTTCCCATGGGAGGTTCCACTCTTCCAATTTGCAAATTTGTCAAATAGAGACCGCCAATGTTTCAGACAGACAGTGCACTTTAACGAGCGAACATGAGGAACGTGTACCTTGGCTGCCTGGCCCAGCGGGCTTTCTACCTCCCGGTCAGCACAGCCATGGAGAGCCGCCTGTGTCTGCACTCTGTCTACTTCGTGCACAATAGTTGTGCTATCTCCTTCCATGGGTTCTTCATTATTTGACAATCTGCATATGTTTTGCTGGAACAATTGCAAAGATGGTTGTATTTACTGAGCCACAGTCAGCTGCTCCTCAGCTGAGCTGCTGAGGCGAAATTGCACTAAATTGCAGTTCACCCACTTTTCCACATAAACATGTTCACAACAAAGTTCTGACCAATCACAAAATTGATGACGTGCACCCCTGAGAAAAAAAGTTCTGTCCACTATTAGTGGCAGCTAGCTAGCACCAACGCAAGCTGTAGTTACTTATTAATCCAAATTTTGGGTTCTTCTTTTTAGCTACACATTTTAGTAAAGATAATCCAACAAATTAGTCATGTGAACTTAATTTTTGAGTGAAAAGCTTAACCCAGTATGCAGAAACAACCTGATACTCAAACCCTGCTGAGTTGAAACTACCCAGGGTTGGCTCGGTCTAAAGTCAACTATGTGCAGCGTTACAAATTGCTTTGTTTTTAACCCAACAATTTTAGTGTTTGCAGCCACAGTGTTTTTAAAACTTCATATGAAATGCTTCTACTTCTTCTTTTGGTTGTTCTCTCTTCAGGGGTCGCCACAGCGAGTCATCCTCCTCCATCTCACTCAGTCCTCTGCATCCTCTGTCCTCACTCCAACTACCTCCATGTCCTCTCTAACTGCATCCATATATCTCCCCGTTGTCTTTCTCCTGGCAGCTACATTTCTAACATCCTTCTACCAATATACCCACTGTCCCTCCTCTGGACATGTCCAAACCACTGTCCCTCCTCTGGACTTGTCCAAACCACTGTCCC